ATAGTTCTTTTCCTGACACCTGTAGATTGAAGATTCTCAAGGATCATTTCACTTACTCACTTTACGTCAATGTCTGTCGCTCGCTGTTTGAAAAGGACAAGCTGCTCTTCTCTTTTTGTCTAACTGTGAATCTCCTGAAATATGAGAAAATGGTAAGTAATTAAAAATAATTCACACATTCAAATGACCAGCTGTAAGAATTGAGAGGATAAAATAGGAAAATAAGCATATATGTAATAGTAATATTTAATCCAGAATTTTGTTGTTTGAGCTTCATAAGCAATTATGAGAAGTGTAAAAGATTCTCTAGAAAAAAATAAATTTGTCACAAACAGATGTGGCACAAACCGTACTAGATGATAATAGTTTTTCTGGACATTATTGAAACCTAAGTCCGCCCTGTGTTATTCTTAGGGTTAAGGTTTTACAAGATTTTACCGTAATGTATTCTGAATTCTAAAAGTGTATAAAAATGAATTGTGGCAATTTAAGAAATAACTCATCTTTTTCACTTAAAGTGTTAAATGTTTTTAATTTTTTTTTTTTTACAAAGAATTGCTGAAAGCCAACATGAATTTTGTTAATTTTTACTAATTCTTTAAAAAATATTTCTTTACTAGGATTTTTTTTTTTTTAAATTCATGATGAAATATGCTTACTTTAACTTCACTATCTGCAAAGCGGTTCTTACTAAAAATTGCTCGGTGGTCTCACAGTATCACAGAAGCATTAAAATGAATACTTTCAAGAGCTGACACAGCTATGGACGAGTGGCTTGGAATTACAAAATTCAAGCCGTCAAAGTTTTGAGATAAAAGAATGAGACATGTAATGGACCAATAGTTTTTTTTCATACTTGGACTCACATTACAGTAAAAAGTTTTCAAACTGAATTGTCCCCTGAAGTACTTCCAGGATGGGTTTTGTTTTTATTTGCTTCTTTCGCTTCAAAATGTTGGGAATTAAGAACGCATCTGACAAAGAGAACTTTGTCTTAAACTGCTCGTTCCTCCAGTTTAGGAACGCAGATGAAAATTCTTTTAAAATCAGCTTTTATATTTAGTTTTTCAGTTCCTCAAATTCGTTCTTAACTGAAAATCAGACACTAATTGTTTTAGGTAGGAATCTTTTTCAACTAGTCTAAGAAATCAGATAAGCACAGTGATTTCCTATAGAACATATTAAAACTATCGGATTTCATTTAGTTGGTTCTGAGAGCATTGTTTTTCTCTGCAGATTAAAGAGGATGAGTGGAAATTCCTGCTGACCGGTGGCATAGGCTTGGACAATCCCTTCTCTAATCCATGCACCTGGCTTCCTCCACAATCATGGGACGAAATCTGTCGACTAGAAGACTTGCCATGCTTCACAAACATTCGTAAGGATTTTACGCGACTTAAAGATGAATGGAAAACGGTGTACGACAGCTTGGTACGTTAACATTCCCAATCGCTTGCTTCCATAAGCTAATTAACATGTTGAATATATTTATTCTGAGAAAATGAAGTATTGTCATTTTACAGGGTCGGTTTCTGCATATATGAAAGTTGAAATTTAAGCAAATGGTGTGGAGGGGCAGATTACTACCAGTTTATCAGGTGGCTACTGAATAGCGGGTGGTGATTTGAATTGGGCTAGAGTAAAAGATGGCAAAACCTGTGGAAGTAAGGCGAAAGTGAAATTAGCTATATTCAAGTCAGCTGCTGGTGCCTTATCGGTCTATTCATTTGTTCACCGTGCTTTGAGGATGACTTTTCGTACCATTACATAGGTATTCAGCTTTTTTGGGTAAATTTAAAAAAAACGACAGCAATGAAAACAACTGTTACATTGTAGAAATACTCAAGTGGGATTCAGGAGACCTGTGTCCTATTCCAGAGTGACAGATAGGCATGAACGATTTCTTTATACCTTTTCACTACTGGATGCTCAAAATTGAGGCTCTATAGTTGACTTATGCTCCACTTTTAGGCACTCACTTCGTCTTTCTGTCAACTTTTCTCAGCTCTCGTTTTATCGTACTGCTTCTCTTCTGCTTTTAGATACACTGAGCTCTCACTGTACGCACAATTCCCGACCAACTATTTTAAAAACTACCATTTCCCAATAGCGCCGTGCCTGACCGTAACTGTTTCCAACACTGAAACCATAGCATCTGTTCACGCTAGTCGAGTGAAGCACTTTTTCACCATAAGATAAGTGAGGAAAATATATAAATGTACAGCCTGTGACCTGTTATACTCTTTTTAAAAAGGCTGCGTTTTATCGATTTCAAAGATTCAGAAATCCTTTCTCTAACAAAGGGACTAGATGGGGCCAGGGAGGAAAACTAAAGGATTTTTAATTGGAATTTCTCATGACCGTATGAAAAATTTTTAAGAAACTGAGCAGATACGGCTCCTTCAATCGTCCAGATAGCAGTAAACAGGTAAATAGCAGAACTAAAGCTTTCCTTAAGCATTTACATAACATATACAGTAAGTTGAGAGCTTCAGTTCATCTTCCAACACTAGCCATTGAGAAATCGAATGTGGAAATCACAGCCTTTGAAACAGAGGGCAAGGAGACTACTTCATTATCTACACTAAGATTATACCATTTCAAAGTAAAGGTGCTGACTTGCAGACGAAAAGAATCAAGGTCCACGTGTTGACCGCTAACTGCATTCAAAGAGCCAAACTCTTTGGAATTTCTTCACTTAAATATCATTCAAAAAAAATAACATCTGCACAGTCAGGTCAGCAGCTAAATGATAAAAAAAAAAATCTAAAAAATTAGTAATGCTGCAACTAGGACTGCCGTTACTGAACCCTGAACAGTATATATGTTGCCTGTCACTGTCTCGATCTGGGAGAGGCGCTAGGCATCTTACTCATTATAAAAACATTTTCTTTCAGCATCCAGCTCCAATACTACTATTATTAATACTTTCCTGTGAACACACTGGGATGTTAAGAAGTGCTAGTAAATGGGTCTCAGTAAGCATTCTTTCTCTGACAGAGGCCATTTTCTTCACCAGTATAGTTTATCCCCAGTAACACACAACCAGGCAAAGGGCAGTTTCGTGTACGAAAGGAAGAGAAAGAGGCACAAAATGACCATGAGCCACCTCGGCATAAATAACTGTACAACAAATATAGCTGTCTCAAGATCACCAGAAAACTATTTGATGTTTTCTTCTTCTACTCTTGCAACTCAGGTTCCTTCCAAAAGTAGGGAATACCTGACTTCAGCTCCCTGCTCCAAGAGTTCTGTGTATTTTATCTAAAGTTAAGCTCTGTATCTTAGAGTAGGGACTGAAACTTGGTTTCCCCCAGCCAGGCGGCCAACTTAACCTCAAAGCTTACTGCTGCATCTCTGCTTCTCATGGTGAAATGAACAATTTTTGTCAGTAGCACAATTCATAACTGTCTTCTGTGCAACCTTCGCTCATTAGCATTTCTTATTTTTTTCAGTGATCCCGAACTAGCAGTTTTTTTGCCACGCTCTTAGAGAGTCATTAGAGTTTTCACTGCAACATATTTCCCCCATATATTAATTGAAAAATAAGATTAGAATCCAGAATGCTGCGCTAAGTACTAAAGGTCAGAGTTCAGACTCTTTGAGGACCGCAAGCTCCATTGCGACTCAATTTACTAAATCAAAGTTGCTTGGAATCTGTAGTCCACCCGCACACCTCTGTGCCCAGCCCTCTACAAGTGAGGCTAAGTTGCCCTGGCACAGCTGTAACACCAATGGCCAGATAGCACTGTACTTGAGTAAGTTAACACACACCACATGCTTATTGCTATTCCAGTCTAGTAACTGCTGTAATGTAGCTGGAATATCTATACGCTACTTACAAAATAAGTTCTGGGGTGTTCTTGAACTCAGTTTTTCTGTTCAATTTCACTCAGATGCAGCATAAATAGTGATTATCATATAATAGCATAGCGTTCCATGTATCTCATGTCTCGTCCACTGTCTTCCTAGAGAGGAGAGCAACTGGGGTCGTTACATTTTAAACACCTAAAAATGACTGGCTTCTCTGCTACAGTATACGCTCCCTAGATACACTTTGTGTTATTTAACCTCATTTAATGTTGTTTTCTTAAAAAAAAAGTCCTATTCCTGCAGATTAATAAAAAGTCCATCGTGAATTGATGTATCTCAAGGTAAGATAATTAGCAATTCACAAATGCTGTAGAGAAAGCTTAAATATGTATGTTTTTAGGATCCTCAGCATGAGAATTTTCCTGCAGAGTGGCAAGAGAAGTTGGGCGAATTCCAAAGGATGCTCGTCATTCGCTGTCTGAGACCTGACAAGGTATGTACAAGGCTACTGCCTTATTCAAAAAACCTCACGCGTATTTTAGAAACCAAAAGCATTTGCAAGTATGCATTTCAACTGCGTTGCTGCAGCTTAGCCCCAGCAGACAGCTAAGCGCTACGTGGGCGCTTGCTCAGTGCTCACAGTGAGATGGGGGAGAGAAGCAGAAATACTAAGACTGAAAGTTCATGCTGAGGTAGTCTGTTCACCACGTAAAAATCACAGTAAGATAGATGCCATCGTTCCAAATGTACCCTCTCCTCCTCCTTCACCCTAGCTTTTACTTACGTAACAATACAGCATGGAATATACCTTAAGTTAGTCTAGACCAGCTACCTCTCCTCACAGACAACTGAAAGCGTAACAAGCAGACTTAACACAGAAGGATAGGCCTTAAGCTTTTCTTACATTTCACTGTGTACACCAAAATCTCCTTAGTGGTTCCAGCTCAAGGCTGTCTTATGGGCCTAGTGACTTTCCCTTTTTATTATGTCTGACAACTTGGCTTGCAGAAGTTTTTACTTCACTATCCAAGGCCAGTTAGACTGGTGTAGGAAGATAATTTAACAGTAGCGTCGACTGTTAAGTAGTAATTACAGCAGGCACCCAGATCCATTTTGTTCTATAGAAAGTATTTTGATGCAGGACTGTTGTGAGCATCTGGCTCAAATAAGGTGTAGATCGCAACAGGTACTCTCCATTAGTCATCTTTATTCAAAAGTCAGCCTACAAAAAGCAAAATAAACGTATTTGCTTGCGTATTTATCATATATATATAACCTGTGAATATATATTCACTAGCATTAGTCCATGCCTACCTATGACAAAGCATTTTGCAAGAGAGAAATAAATCAGTTACTACTTCTGCTCTAGAGAGCCTATTAAAAAATTCTCCACGCTTCCTCAAACTACTGTTCAGATTAATATAAGTATTTGCATAGGAATAAAAATATTTTTACTGTATAAGAGAAAAAAAGTCAGTCATATTTAACTTCTGGACTCATGATGTGAGCTTTCAGAAGATTGGCAAGTCAGATCGGCTCGGATGGGTGCTGGTGGCTGTGGCGTATATCGATGTTTGGAGACAAAGTTATCCACAAGACGCTTCCTAGTTGCAGCAACTTCTTCTTCAAAGGCATTTATTATGCTTCTGCCAGTTTTGCACTTAAAGCAAAGGAAAAGATTGAGATTTTTAAATGAGTAACTTAACTGTCCAATTCAGAGGGGTTCAGAACTTAGATCCTTAAGAAGTCATTTATCTGCTACTAATCTTAGCTTAGAAGTATGCTTTTTATGAGCATTACCATTGTTTGAATGGTGCACACTGGTCCATCAGGTAATTCGTATGCGTATACCATCTGATCCAGAAACTCTTCCACCAGCCTCACCAGTGGGGTTCAGTTCAGCAGTTTTTTTTAAATATATTTAGCAAACTTGTAAGTTGTGAGCCCATTGTTTAGCTCTCACATCAGGGAGAGAGTCTTGAATTTAGTTTTAGTTTAGGTATGTTTAGGTAATAACTTTTTACAATTAGTCCACCTTCTGAGGTATCGGACCTCTTCCACTAAAGCAGACTGCTCCTATTTTTAGCTATTTGAGCGTTATTTATTCTTCATATAATCTTGACAGCCACCAGGTATGTTTTCAATATCAGACCTTAGAAGCAAGATAAAGATCTATTGCGCAAAGCCACGAAGTGGTTAGACGACAAATACGGGGCACAGTTAATGTGCCCCTCAGGGAGTTCGGCTCACTTTGTTCTATTATCCATAGAATTAAGATTGACAGCATATCAAAGGCCATCAATTAAAAAAGCTCAGATACGTGTGCTTCAGTATATGTCAACAGTACAGCCTGCACATATACTGTAGGGAAGATCAGAACTCGAGAACCGCGACTCATTCGAAAGGAGCTTTAAAGTCTGACAGCGTAATTAAACAGCGGTTTTGTGTAAAGCTAGAGACAAAAAGCAGCAGTCTGACCAAGTTCTATTTTTCAGGTTCCAAAAGATGGAACTGCTAATTGTAGTTTCCACACACACCCAAGTTCACTTTTCTACTCCAGTGAATTGTTGGACAAACATTCGTAACTGAACTAAGTTATCTTTCAGAAGCTAGACAATAAACTAGGTTTGGAAAGGCTAGGGGTGCAGGTTACTTAGCAAATAAGGCATTTTGGTTATCAATTCCACGTTAGTCCCATTCTGGCATTACACCATCATTCCTTCCTTAGCATTCAACCCTCTTAAAAAAGGAAGGAGGTTTTTTTTTTTTTTTTAAGTAGTTCAGCTTTGCATTTTAAGATTACTTAGTTAACACTTACAAGGAAGGTTCTTAGCCGCGTCTTCTCCAGCATGTAGTACTCCTCCATTGTCAGGTCATCAAACTGCTTAGTAAGAGATAAAAATCCACAGCTACGACGTTTGGCGTGTTCCTCCCTGCAGTGTGAGCCCAGAACAAGAATGGGTATTAAAACCAAGAAAATTGCACTTCAAGATGCATAAAAAGCAGACAAGTTTCTTCAATATTTCTGTCTACGAGCAGGTAACATCTGAAATATAATTCAGCCAATGTTAGATAAAAACCGGTTGCATGAACCGTGAGTGAGAAACAGTATAAGGCAAGATCTGGACTGACTTTACAGCATTGATAGAAACCATCTTCCGCTTGCCGAATCAAAAACATCCTCTTCAGATGCAAAAAGAGAAATTAAAAACCGTATGGAGTATAATTAGCAAGTGTTTCGAGGTATAAGATAAGATAAACTTTTGGAGGCTTCAGTTTACTGAAATGCTAGAAAACTTGTTAATTTTGTAATGAATAAGGGGGATGTTGTCATGGAGATATACAGAAATATTTAAAGAACATGGTTAAGCCTGTGCTTACCATGGGTCGTCATTAGGTTCCCAGCCCTCCAGTTCTATCAAGCAAAAGAAACATTTTGCCACATCCGGTTCATTTGCACTTCGGCAGTGGATAAAGCCTGCCTTTGCCATCTGCAAGAGACAGTTCAAAAGTTTAGAACTTCATCCAACACGCAGCTCATGCTCACATCAAACTGTCGCAGAGAACTTTCGGTAACGTCTTTCCCCACCATATCTATCTGCGCAGATCCAGCTGAAAAACGAGTTTTAAGAGCAAGAGCTGTAAGTGGGCAGATCAATTAGTAAAGGAACAAGGAACAGTCAGGTCAAGGGAATAAGTTTCTACATAGTTGTCACGTTCACACGCCACCAGAGTACCTTTGCTATTTCAGAGATTAACTAGCACACCAACAGAAGCATTTCGCTATCGGTGCATATAATCTGCTGTAGCCCGGAATATATATATATTTTTTTTCCTAGAGAAAAACTGTAGTGTAAGGCCGCAACCACAGAAAACCCTTACGTATAAACTGCATGAGTAGAGTGCTACACTTTCCTGTCAGTTTAGAATGGCATCTGGTAAGAAAGTTAAAAAACAAGTTCATTTCAGTTATCAAGAATCACCTCTTAGATAACTCTTTTAGCACAGCTTAGCTGAGATCTAACCCACTTGTTTGATACATGTGCCAAATCAGAAGCACAGTCTCCTCTTTTCAGCCCTCAAGTTGAAGCCTGCAAGGACGTAAAGATTAAGTTTACTAAAACTAAGACAATTTTAACTTCCGATATTAGGTTCAAGTAGTAATCGTTCTGCTAGTTCATCCTTCCTGCTGGATGAAGTAGAATATTCTTCTAGGTCTGTCTCCAAAAAGAGAATCTGCAAGCAGAAATGCAACATAATACAGAAAGTAACCATAAGTTTGGAATACAAAAAATTAAAAGTAGATCAGCAAACTAAATACATAAACTTGCAATCAAAAAAAGAAAAGCAATCATCTTGCTACAGTATCTCAGAACACAGGGAAGACAGACTGCTCAGCTTTTCACTTCAGGCTAAGCAGAGGCTCACAACTTCTCTTGAACAAAAAATACTAATGTGAGGGACTTGACCTTCACAGTATACCAAGAGTAGGACGTGGTTAAGGCATCCTTTATCAGACTCACATTCTCTGGAGTGCACTTGCAGTTCTTCATGAAGGGCCAATTGGCAAAGGTTTTTAAGCGGCTTTCATAATTGTACATCTCTTTAAGCTCATTCAGTAGACTTGAAGCTGAAAGGAGCTCTTTCAGAAGTGCCTCCATCTGTGCAGACTGCAGGGAGCGTAGGTCAGAGCTCTCTCCTTTCTAGGTCTCCAATTTAAGGTATTCTCCTAATTGGTGACACACTACACCTGTGAAGCAGAGCGGCTTTAAAATAAGTGAGAACATATGGATGAGAGTGGGATGACTGGGAAACAAGTTTGTTTCAGATATGTAATGTTTCATACTGTGTATTTATTAACTGAAAGAAATGGTACTTATAACGTATAACTGTATTGCTTTTATGATTATAATGTTGAAGATATAAGTGAAAGGCTTATAGAAGTTCAGTCATTTTGTGTAGAGTTTATATTAAAGCTATTAAAAAGGCACAGTTTGTGACAAGTGGTTGAACCAGTACTGGTGTTTCTGAAGCGTTTAGAGTTACTTAAATTTCATGTTATGGGGTCAAAATCTTATACTGCGTTTGCTGATACTGTTAGAACTCTGTAACGGTGACTTGGTAATTATACAGTATTCAGTGCATTGCAAGGTATTTTAGTCAAGAGGGAAATAAAACAAATATACCTGTAAATGTTTAGTTATAAAAGTTTCAAGCTGTCTTATAAACAGTTTCACATGCACGGTACTGTGCTTACTTTACAATAGTAAATTAAAAGACCTATGGGTAGGTGTATGGGAACTGCTGAGTCACGGCCTGAACCTCTGATTAATCACCTGAGGTGAGCAAGGAGTCAGCCCTGGGAGCACAGGTGAAAGCAATTCACCTGTGCTGCAGGAAGGAGTGGAGCCTGGCTCCTCCTCTCCTAGACCCATTTAAGAGCTGACTACCAGTGGGGAAGGATCTCTCTCTCTTTGGAAGATCTACTCCACTGGTCTTTCCTGAGCGAGCCCATGACACGGGTAAGCCTCCTATTTGTTCTCTTTGTCTCGCTGTGCCTAACTCTCCTGCTTATTTCATTATTATAACATCTTAATATTATTTGATTATATAATATTCCTTTATATAATTTTCATTGCTTATGCAGTAGGATACTGTTGTTTGTAGTGGTTTGCAAAGCTGAGGTACTATCTCTTTTGAAACGAGCTCAGTTAAGGTATTTAAAAGGTGAAATCTAGTCTGCAATACAAATAGCGTGCGTGCAGGCGAGATTCCAAGTTCTTACATCAGCACGTTACTCTGTTCAGATGCAGGATGAAAATGATATTGAGGGTCACTTATTTCAACTGTGTCAGGCCATGTCTTTACTGCAAGATTGTTTTGGTTTTCTGTTACACATGCTAAGTCATTTCTTTGGGACTGAATTGGCGTTTCATTTTCTGTGCAGCAATACTCTCCTCGTAGTTTATAGTAAACTGTTTAAAGCGGCATAGTGACATGCATAAATAGGATGTAAAGATTTTATTGTTTCTTTTTTTTTAGGTAATACCAATGGTGCAGGAATTTATCGTTCACAACCTGGGCCGTCCATTTATCGAGCCACCTCCATTTGATTTGTCAAGTGCATTTTCTGACAGCCACTCTTGTGCACCTCTGATATTTATACTTTCTCCCGGTGCCGACCCTATGGCAGCACTTGTTAAGTTTGCTGACGATCAGGTATTGTGAAATCTCTGGATTTTTTTTTTTTCAGGTAGGTGATGCGTTTGCATGTGTGTTTGCATGTATGTATAAACAGCTAATTGAGTAGAAGTTGAAATGTCAAAGTAAGCTCAGAAGCCTGTTTTTAGGTGCCTAAGAACACGTTGAAACGGATCTCGTGGTTCTCCTGAGGAGGAAGCATTAACTGACAGCATAGTAACGTAGGATCTTGGGTGGCCTTTTCACTTAAAAAATTAATATGTGCATTTGTTCTTGCTTTGACTAGGATGGTATTTAAAACAAACAAACCAACAAAAAAATCCCAGCAGTAGAAATCATTACTTCTGTAAAAGAGCGTTGTTAGTATAAAGCTCCTAGGTTTCTGTGAGATATATTTCTTGCACTGCTTGCCTGTGACTACCAGCATTCTTTGCTGTTGAGCGTCATGCAACCATCTGGCCACAGAGCAGTAAACACATTGTGCGTTTTATTGCAGGCTGTCTGCATCATCATAAGGAAGAGCGTTCCTTGTGAGAGTATCTATAGGAGTTTTTTGGAACTGTCAGAACTGTAAAGTTCAGAATTAAATGGATGCATAGCAGGAGTCTTTCAGTGACAGATGATTGCTGAGAGGTTGTAGTCAACCGGGGTGGCGTGAGAAAACGTTTTAAACTGTATTTTAAAACAAGTAGTGCAAAGTAATTCAAGAATATGTATGGATGTGAACTCTAATCCTATAAAACGCATTGTGCTTCCACAGTATTTTTCTTACCTTTAACATGCTTTTTCTATGCAGGGATATGGCGACACAAAGCTTAGTTCTCTGTCGCTCGGTCAAGGTCAAGGCCCAATAGCCATGAGAATGATAGAGAAAGCAGTAAAGGAAGGAACGTGGGTAGTTCTGCAGAACTGCCATTTGGCGAGCTCGTGGATGCCCATGCTGGAAAGAGTCTGTGAGGTAAAAATAACTAATATTTTCAAAAGTGTAGTGAACATATGTTTGACGCACGTGGACAGTTTCCTATATTCGATGGCGATTCCCATTAATTACTTGGAATCACCATGTCGGTTCCGTCTTTGTCGTTCTGGCTGCTGCAGTAGGAAGTGTCCGCAAATGGGGCGGATGTGGCCTATTCCCCGAACGTTAAATCGAGCGCTACAGCTGCCTCCTTAGGCCGAGAGCTTTTTTTGTGCATCTGTCGCTGCAGAAAAGCAGCATGCTAAACAATGCTACATTTGAACAGCTGCAGGTTTGCAAAAAAGTACTGGAGTACAGTTCTTGCTTACCCTTTGCTGGAGTTCTTCATGCATTTTTGATGTGTTGATACTATTGTTGTAGCTTTTTTGAGAAGAGCCATACGACACTCAATATGCAAAGTACATGTGTCGTTGAGGTGTAGACTGGGCACCTCATTTTTGTTCACGTTTTATGCAAACAGCAGAAATTACAGTTCAGTATTCCACAGTCATAAATAAAAGAGCTCTGGCATCCCGCAAAATGAAAATTGTCATCAATTTGAATCTGATCATCATTGCTTGGGAATCTTTTAGAAATTCAACATTGGACTGGTATGTTTTGCAACTCCCTCCAAAAAAGTTGTTTAAATAATAAGAGGAGATGTGTATTAGTCTGTCATTTATTCCAGTTGTTTTCATATATGTTTATTGTAGGAGCTTAACCCTGACACAACACATCCAGATTTCAGAATCTGGCTCACCAGTTATCCATCTGCCACGTTTCCAGTGTCTGTACTTCAGAACGGAGTGAAAATGACTAACGAAGCACCAAAAGGTTTACGGGCGAACATAATTCGTTCATATCTGATGGATCCAATATCTGACCCGAATTTTTTCAACAGCTGCAAAAAAATGGTTAGTAATGCGGTGGCAGCCTTACTTTCTAAAGGGGTTAAAGAAGACTGTGACTGCGTACGTTAGCTCTGGGGAAAAAAGGTAACAAATTAAATAGTTGTCCTTTACAGCAATTGAACTACTTTTCTTCTCTGCTGCCTATAACAAAAATGTTTTCTGCGCATCTCCTACTTCAGCGGTGACTTCTTGGCGTGGTATTAATAATGCGGCTCTTTAACAGAAATGAAGTGAAAAGCATGCTATTTGCCATTGCAAATCTGCAAGGTGGTTGTCGTGCGGCTTTTATCCAAAACACAAAATAAGCGGTTGCTCTGTTGAACCGTGATGGCCAGTGGAATTTATAGAGTTCTTACATAAATGCCCTTCAAAGTGCTTGCTGCTTTTATTAAGACTCGGAAAGCTCTGTTTTCAGGATTAGATTTGTGTGCAAGCTTATTTGACCTGAAAATATTTGCTATTATTTATCTCTAATCGTACAGTTCTTTTAAATGAGATCTAATACTTTACCAAAATGTTCACAGTTGCAAACAAACCAAACATAAGCTTCCTACACGTTGAAGGCCTGAGATCTTTACTGAGAACGAATAGAGACATTGTCTGAACAGCTTTTTAAAATGACATTCTGTAAAGCACGTACTTAATAGTGATGTACTTGCATTTGTTTGTAAGGCTGAGTTCAAGGCATTGCTGTACGGCCTGTGCTTCTTCCACGCGCTGGTGCAAGAAAGGCGGAAGTTTGGGCCACTGGGTTGGAATATCCCGTATGAGTTCAATGAGACTGATCTTCGCATCAGCGTGCAGCAGCTGCACATCTTCCTCAACCAGTATGAGGTATGGCAACCTCCCTGAGGCCTGTGTGCGCTTCTCATGCGCAGCATAGACCCGTGAGAGCATGTACCCAGGCAGCCGAGAGTTCCCCAGGCGGTGGTTTAGTAGGGGCCTGGGACTGAGCAGTGAACATTTATTTGCAACAGTATGAATAACAATCCTTTTAGGAGATCAGCGTGTTGTGATCGGTAACCAATTGGCGCTGGAAATTTTCAGATTCCACTATTGGCTGTCTGCCATGCAGAATAGAGCAGAGTGCAGTCCATGTTGTTTTTTCTGTCTGAATCTTACTCTGTCTCTAGATAGATGCTGTGGCTTCAGCTCTTGGAGATGTCGTTGGAAGCAGTGAATTATTACACGGAGCAGGCGCTGTGACTGACTTAGTCATAGGGATAATACAGGACTGCAGAGTACCACAGATGATGTGCGAGCTCTATTTGTGTCAATGTAGCTGAATTGAGTACTTACTCATTTGCTGAGCTAAGCAATGTTTCGTCCAAGAGCGTCTGGACTTCGCTAGCCATACGTGACGCTTGTTTGTGTTTCAGCATCCTATGCAAAAGACTATAGCCAGAACTCTTTGAAGTTACGGCTAGGCTGCTGTTGTCAAATCACTGTCAGTCTGGTGTACTTTGGATTATTAGAACTGTTAATAGGAAAAAGCGATAGGGAATAGCAAGCAATGTACGGCGGGCGGGTGGTTTAGGGGAGTGGACAATGAGCGTGCAGAATGTTGTATCATACGGCATTGTCTAAGCAAATGCATCACCTAAG